ATATTTATAAATATTTTACACATCAGATCTGACACCAGCCCTTGTCAGATCTGATATCACTAAACTATTACTTGCACCCAATTCTAAGAAGGGTCCAGAGACATTTGGCATCAGAAAATTTGCTATAAGAAAGCAGACAGTACACGGATGATGGTAAGACTTTGATCATTGAATGATGATATTAATCAACATTAACAAATCATTATATAACACACTCATTTAGATTGCTTTATTTGGGTTTGAATGAAGTACTGAGCAGAAGCAATTTTTTGCATTATTTCTGTGTTGTCACGACATATGACGTTGGGAATTTGGTGGATGTCATGCATGCATTTATTAGTCTGCATTATCATTTAATTTTAGACATCTAATTTCTTCTACCAAGATCTCGGTAGACACAATGCGATCTGCATATGGGTTTTTCTTCCTATGCGTTTACTGCCTAGATTGAGGAAGTCCCCTGTGAGTTTTGTAGCAAACAGCTTGGAAAGGTTTTTAAAAGTGAAATCCATTTATAAACTCTGGGTTTGAAATTCAAGGAGATATAATTGCTGTCAGTTTAGATGCAATATTACTGCAGACTAACTTCTTCAGAGGAGACCAATCGTGGTATGTGCAAATGTGAAATATTGCTGTATTGGCTTCCAACTTCTTATTGATTACATCTAATTGAGGAGTCCTGACCATTGGTCTTGGCCCATTTTAAACCAGTTGTACAACAACAACAACAAAATTACATTTGTATAGCGTCTTTTACGTTGGGAGGACATCCCAAGTTGTAAACAGAAGGCCTGGAGTTAGGTAACAATTCTTTGTTTACAAGAATCAACTTTTTAATATCTTCTTTCCTGATTCCTTCTCCCTCTGCCCTATTTTTTTCATTTTCATCATTACTCAATGATGAAATCAATTTTCATCAACAATAATTGGCTCACTTCAATCCACGACTGTTTATGGGACACTGCTGTGCACAAATGGCTGCCATGTTTCGCCCACAAAATATACAGTCAATTCACTTTACAGTATATCCTGTGAAGAGCTTTGAGACGTCTCGAAGACGTGATAAGGCACGATATCAAATGTGAGGTTTCTTATTATTAGCACATCTTTTTAGGTTTAATATCTGGTTTCTCTGGGAGAGGACAGAATGTTTCATGGAAGGGGGTGTTCAGAAGTGACTGCTGCTCATATTGATCACATCAGGCACAGCATATATTTTTTGTGTGTTATCACTTCTGTGTTATGCTCCAAATGCATCAAGGGTTATAATTAAAGGTTCTTTACGTTTTATGACAGGCTAGTTTGAATGATGAGGAATCATGGACTTGAACTTTCAAAGATCGTGTTGGGAATCATACATTCAACTGGTCCCCCCAGTTCCACAATACACAAAAATTTAACAAATTAAAAACTCCGCAGCCCAGATACTCACTCGCACAAAACTCCGTACCCACATCAAACCAGCCTTTGTCAGGCTCTACTGGCTCCCAATTACCAAACGGATTGATTTCAAGATCCTCTCACTCGTTTTCAAATCCTTCATACCCTCGCACCTCCCATCCTATCTGTGACCTGCTTACCCTCTACTCCACCACCCGCTGCCTCCACTTGGCTGGCTCCGGCTTCATGTTTATTCCTCGTCCCCTCCGCTTCACCGTCGGGGACGTGCCTTCAGCCACTACGCCCCAAAACTTACAAAGTCTCCCTCAACCCCTCCACCTTGCCTTCCCACCTTCAAATACCGCCTAAAGACATTCCTTTATGATCCTGCTTACGGTCACCTCCCCCCTCCCTCTACCCCTGGCTTGGGGTCAGACCTCACCACTGCCATGTGCTCCGGGACTCTACCCCGTGTGAAGGGCGTTATATAAATGCAAGTTGTTTTTTGTTGTTGTTCCAGGTTGTATTTAGGAAATCTCACTGCCAGGTCTCAATTTTTAATAAAGGTCATTTCAGCAATTTAGCCCTGTCAGCTTTTGTTGGTTTTCCAAAAACAAATCTGAATTATTGGAAGAGGTGATCATCAGTTTGGGAGGGATGTCAGGGAGGAGTATTGAAGCAGACAATACAGCTGATTAATATGGGTAGTTCAAAATAATAATAATAATCTTTGCATTTGATATAGCACCTTATAACGTCTTCGAGATGTCTCAGAGCACTTCACAGAATATACTGTAAAGTGAATTGACTATATTTTATGGGCGAAACGCAGCAGCCAATTGCGCACAGCAGTGGCCCACAAACAGTCGTGGATTGAGTGATCAATTTATTATTATTTTTTAAATTACCTGATCCTGCAGTACCCCTATGTTAACACCCCGTGTTAATACAGCTATCTCACATAGTTACCTTCTCTGCTCTAGTTTTCCCTATGATCTCCTCAGTAACCAACAACTGAAATGGTAGAAAAATTACAAAAGGATCTATAAATTAATCAAAATTCTTTGTGGAGTTTTTTTTGGAAAATTGTGCTGGTAGTAACCCTCCCACTAAATCCTAAGGGGTTTGATCTGTGTGTCTCCATTATTCATGTTGCTAAACTGACCAGCTTCTCAACTTCTTTATCCTTCTAAAATGTAAAACAGAAATTCTTGATGACCAGGGATTATTTAGTGAATATTTAAAACCAAAGTGAAGTATATTAAACCTGCATCCTGAATCTCTGGATTGTAAGAACTTTACAACAACAGTTCAACAAATCATTGGTAACTGCTAATGTAATTAACATTTCTGTAAGTCATGGCAATGTTTTCTGTTGTGATTTTGCTGTGATTTTCATTTGCTCTAAGAGATAATTAGAGTCTGTCTAACAAGCAGCTGTGGATCTGAAAGCAAAGCTTGCTGATGAATATTTCACCATCAGTTTCAAACTCTATTTCAGTTTGCATTTCCCGTGTGGGAAAAAGGGGTCAGAGCAAAGTGCATCTCTATTCCAAGGAGACCTGTGCAGTCACCTGTCATTTTAAGATTCAAGAAATTACTTGGAGCGTCTCCAGAGTATGTTCGTTTAGAAGGATTATGATGCATTGCTCTGTGAAATGGAAGAACAGTGTGCCCTTGGATTCATCTGTGTAGCCACAAAATATTCCTGTTTGTCCACTGGGATTCAGTCTTTTGGTGCAATCAAAGCAGTCTGCCTTCTTTATAAAATAATCTTGTATCATTTGTAAACTAAGTGGTGTAGGTTGTACACTGTTGGAGGAAACATTATTTTCAAAAAGTAAATAGTTTATCCAGAACATTATCAAGTAAGCTTAGATCAACTAAGAAATACACAGTAAGCTTTTTATCAATCATTTTCACATTTGGATATGTGGGATAACATCCTAGAACCCTTACCCAAGCAGAAAAATAACATTAATAAATTGTAACCTGTAAAACAAACAGAATAGCAATAAATAGTGCATTATGCTGTGTTGGTTCAATTTCAACCCTACTAACATTTGGTATTCTGAGTCCATTACTGTTGATGTTCAGTCTGCTGCTAAACTGGCATAAAACAATAAAACCTGCTCAATGTTTAAAGATCAGAAATGTCTTTGCGGTAATAACAGTACTTCAACCATTGATGCTCTAAGAATCTGAAAGGTTCTTTTGATGTAATACCCACAGAAGTGATTTTTTTTATATAAGGAAAGCAGAATAGCCCAATTGTGGACGTGTACTCCTTTGAGAGTCACAAAGGATGGTTCTTCACACTTTCCTGAGTCACAAGAGATAAACACAACAAGAGGTTGTGATGTACACATGTACCTATGCCTACCTGGATTCTGTGCACATTGTTTCAAATATGTGTTATAAAATTCAAGATTAAAATGAAACAGAATCTCAAATGTTCGATAATCTTTTTTAGAATCTCATAAATCAACATTTATGAATAATTTCTTTCCTTTCAAATCTTCATGCATACTCAGTGTTTTTTGAAGGATAAATGACAAACTGCTCACATCTCTACAGCCTCCACATATATACTGTAGCTGCCATATAGCTGAAAGTACGAAGCACAATATGAATAGTTTGTATTATAATAATAATCGTTATATTTGGTACAGTGCCTTTCACATCGGGAGGATGTCTCAAGGTCCTCATAACAATAAAGGCATTATATAACTGTAAATTTGTTATTTCTTTTCTCACCGGATATAATATAGAGTGACTGTGTATTTGTAGGAAAATGCAGCAATGTCTCGCAAACAGCCATTAAGTGAATGACCAATTTCATTTGGGACATTATTGGCCAGGGTACTTGGAATAACTCCCTTCTCTTTTCGAACAGTATCATGAGATTTTTAACGGCCACCTGAACAGCCAAACAGGACCTTGGTTTAACTTCTCATCCGAAGGAATAGCATCTCCAACAATGCAGCACATTTTAGCACTACAATGGAGGGTCATTGTCCAGATAATACCACTCTTACCAATTAGGGCTTTACTTCACAGCATTAAGGACTTGCTTACACCTTCAAATTTTATTGATGAGCCAGTGAGGCAGATCAGCCATAAGCAGTACCTTGGAGGGCTGTAAATTGATCAAATTTAATCAAATTTAGAATAGACATAGAAAAATAGAAACAGAAGTGGGCCATCCCTTAATACCCTAATCTAACAAATATCTATGCACCTCAGTCACAAGATGTGAATGGATCCATCATCCACAGCCTTTTGGGGAGAGAGTTCCAGATTTCTACTTCCCTGGAAACTATCAGAACAGCATCCTTTCTTTGTACTTTTTCCCTATTTTTCCAATTTGGTTTTAAGACATGGGTAGGCAATTTACAACATTTTGGAACAAATTGAGGTGATCGCATACACATATTACATGTCTCATAGAATAACATATTAATTAATTAATATATTTAATTTTGAGCCATTTGTGATGATGACTTCAGTGATTAAGACTGTGATTTTAATGTTGCTATTTTTTGTGCAAATGTATTTTCTTATGGCAAATATGAGAAAATATGAGAATAACTGTTAAATGTATTTTTTTCCCTCTATAGGTATTCAGGGTTAAAGCAGTGGAACTAGGGGAGAAGCTGCTGCCTGCATTTAACACACCTACTGGAATCCCTTGGGCTCTACTGAACATAAAAAGGTAGGCAGATCAGCGCTTTTAATTGACAAATATGCTGAAAGAGTTGCTGTGATCAGTAATGTGCAAGGAGGTGAGAAAAGTGCTTGATGCCAATTTGAGAGAACATTCTCTGAAACCTTAAATTTGTCTTTTGCACTTTCCCAAATTTTCTCCCATCTTAAAGACTCTGACTTTTGTTGGCTCCACGGGAACCAAGCACTTTCTGTACATCATCTTGAGCAACCATTCTTACAAGTATAAGCCTGCATAGCTTTACATAGACTATAGTACGGAAACAGGCAATTTGGGCCAACCAGTCAGTAACCATGTTTATACGCTACATGAATCTCTACCCACTCCTTACTCCTTCACATGCCCTTCTATTCCCTTCTCCCTCATGAATACCTAGCTTCCTTTTAAATGCATCTATACTCTCTGCTTCAACCACCACTACAAGTTCTACATTCTCTCTATCCTCTGTGTGAAAAGTCTCTTCTTAAATTCTCTTTTAAATCCCCTTGTCACTATCTTATACTTGAGTCCCCTTCTTACGGACTCCCCAACAAGGTGGAACAGCCTTTTTAAGCTAATCTCATCAAATGTTTTTAGAATTTTACAACAACAATTGCATTTATATAGCGCATTTCACGTTGGGAGAATGTCCCAAGGTGCTGGACATTCGAGAGTTTGCTCCCAAGCTGAGGGTTGGATTCAGGAGGCAAGGCGACCAAACTGGATGGGGGGAAATAAAGGTGACTGAAGGCGAGATCAAAGAGAAAGGTCTTGAGAAGGCCCTTGAAGAAAGCAAGGGGAGGGATGAGGTGAAGGACTCTGGGATGGAGTTTCAGAGACTGAGTGCAGTAAAGCTCAAAACCTGACCACCAATGGCGGGTGGCAAGGTGGGGGATGTAAAGCAGTCTGCCATGTGGAGGGAACGAACTGGTTGGTATGGTTTAGAAGATCACTGAGATAGGGGGTGGAAAGACCATGGAGGGATTTAAAAGTGAAGACAAGGATCTTGAACGCAATCCTCTTGGGGTTGGGGAGCAAGTGGAGCCAGAAGAGAATGGGGTAATAGTGCGTGAGAAGAGAGATCTGCTCCAGGGTGCCGGGACTAGTGGGCGATCAGTGGCTGCTGTTGGACAACTGATGGCATTGTGGGAATGAGGGAACACTTCTATTAGGTCTTCTTCTAAACGTTTCTTCTCCATCAGAGAAAGCTCAACCTATCCAGTCTTAGCTGATAGCTCTGGTACAGTCCTTGTTGTACTCTTTCCATTGTTGCTATATCCTTGTAATATGGTGACCAGATTGGACACAATTGTAGCATGACTAAGATTTTATACAAATTCAATATTATCTCTTCACTTTTATACTTATCCCTCTGGATATAAAGCCCGAGACTCCATTGACACTTTATGGCCTTGTATTGGTACTTTTAATCTGAATCTCCTTATATCTTGGCTTCTCTGCTCCTCTTAGGTTCCTACCATCTATCCTCTGGACAGCTTCTTGTTTTTTCTACCAAAGTAACTTATTTCACATTTTACTATTAAACTTAATTTGTCAGCTGTCTGCCCTTTCTTCTAGCCTGTTTGTCTTCCAGCATTTTTTTGCAATCCTATTCACTACTTACCACTCCCCAACCCCCCTCCCCGTTCATGATTTCAGTCACAAGTGTCTCACGTGGCAATGCTCTCATTGAATACCAAAGAGGCATCCAGTCTCTGGTGTTTTCAGATTTGCCGTTATGTCATTCAGCTAAAGTTGTAAAGAAACTGCACTGAGTGAAAGCAACATTCCACCCCATTCATAGCAACTTCAAGCTACTGGTCTTAAAACAGTGACTTGGGATGTATAAATACAATTGGAGACTACAATGGCAAGACCACGATTTTCAAAATCCATCGCTTGTTGGTGCAAGAGAGAGCGTTATGGAACCTCAGAGCTGTTGGGCATTGCCTTTGGCTTAGATCATCTAGGTTCTAAAATGTTTGTTATAAAACGTGTGGGTTACAAACATTACATGTGTACTGTATATAGGAAGGTGTTGAATGATCAGATAGCATTAGTGGATGTTTAGGTATTGCTTATTTTGTGGAATACGTTGGATCTAGATTATCTACCATAATTGAGGGAATAGTAGTCCCATTTCCAACCTACCCTTTCTTCCTAAAGTCCTGGAACGCATTGTTGCAACTGAACTTCGGTCACACCTCTCCCTCCTTGAGCCCCTGCAGTCTGGTTTTCACCCTTCCCAGATCACAGAGCCGCACTCGTCAAGGTCACAAGCAACATCCTCTCTATCTGTGACCAGAGCTCCTTCTGCCTCCTCGTCCTCCTGGTTCTCTCTACCGCGACGACACAATCGACCATGCCATCCTCCTCCACCGCCTCTGCTCCCTCATCCACCTTAGTGGGACTGCACTCGAATAGTTCGAGTCCTACTTAACCAACCGCCTCCACTTTGTCTCAGCAGATGATTTCCCCTCCCGTCCCTGCCCAGTCACCTGCAGGGTACCCCAAGTCTCTATCCTTGGCTCTCTACTTTTCATCATCTATATGCTCCCACTTGTCGAGATCATCCGCAGACACGGGTAAACTTCCACATGTCACACACACATCTACTTTGCCTCCTCCAACATCAACTCCAGATCTGCTTATGTTCTATCAGCTTGTCTGGCAGACATCAGGGCCTAGATGAGTGCAAACTTCCTGCAACTGAATGTGGACAAGCCGAAAGCCATACTTCTTGGCTCCTGTCAACATCTTTACTCCTGCGGATCTAAACTCCACTGGTTTGGTGAGTCTGGGCTCTCCCTCAGACTCGTACACCAAACTAGTGCGCAATCTAGGCATCCAGTTTGATCCCAAGCTGTCCTTCCACCCCCACATCCGGTCCCTGACCAAGACTGCCTTCCTCCACCTACACCAGATTGCATGCCTCTGATTGAACCTTACCCCAAATGCAGCCAAAACTCTTGTGCATGCGTTTGTCACCTCGCGCCTGGATTACTCAAACGCACTCCTCGCAGGTCTCCCCAGCTCCACTATTCAAAGATTCCAGCTCATTCAGAACTGCATATTCAGAATCGCCTGCATACTGACCCGGACCAAACTCCGTACTTGCATCTCACCAGGTCAGGCCAGGCTCCACTGGATCCCCATCACCAAACAGATCGACGTCAAGAACCTCACTCTTGTGTTCAAATCCATTCACTCCCTGGCACCTCCCTACCTCTACAACGTCTTCACTCCCGATCCAATACCCAATTGGTGCCTCCGCTCGATTGGCACCCGGCTCCTGGCTTGTCCCTCCCATCCTCTACTCCACCATTGGAGATTCTGCTTTCAGCCACTATGCCCCGAAACTGTGGAACACTCTCCCTGAATCCCTCCACCTTACCCCCTCTCTTCCCTTTTTTGAAGTCCCGCCTGAAAACCTTCCTTTTCGACCGTCCTCACGGTCACCTCTTCCCCACCCACCCACCCCAGCTCAGAGTCAGGCTCCACCACCGTTAAGCTCTCTGAGACACTACTCAGAGAGTAGTGGGTGCTATATAAAGTGCTAGTTGTTGTAATAGAACAGTGTTGCCCAATAGAAATCACTGACTAACCATAGGTGTAGCTGCATCAACATTGTTTTAGCCCATGCACTAATTTTAGAAGAAAATGCCTTAACATTCACTCACACAATACAGGTAAATATAATCCTCATGTATATTTGCTTAGCAAATATCTATATAACAAACATTTACCACCATTCAGTGTGAAACCTTGCATTCCTGTGGAGTCCTGTAGCTCAGTGGTTAGAGCACTCACTTTGCAAGCGAGAGACCTGAGTTCAATTCCAGGCAGGGCGAAACCTTGGGCAAGTTTCCTTACTCCACACAGAGCCTAATAATAATCCCTCCAAAACCAAAAACAATAATAAATTGGTTATTTTCAATCTACGACTGTTTGTGGGACATTGCTGTGCGCAATTGGCTGCCGCGTTCGCCCACAAATATACAGTCAATTCCCTTTACAGTGTGTTCTGTGAAGCGCTTTGGGACGTCCTCCCGACGTGAAAAGCGCTATATAAAATGCAAGGATTATTATTATTATTATCTGATTGGTACCAACTCCACCAGCCATGTTATCAGTGTCACTATGTTGTAGAATCCTTGATATTGATTGGGATTTTGTGGTCCAACCAACTACGCGTTATTATGGGGCTTTACTGTAGTTTGTACTAAGCGCTCTGAGGCACTACCCTGCGTGGAGTGCACTATATAAGTGCAAGTTGTTGTAAATTGCTGTAGATTGGATTTTTTTGAGGGGTAGAGGATGGGTGGTGGAGTAGGTTTAATGATGCCTGGAATCCAGGGAAGAACTATCATCATTTATCCTACATTTGAATTCTGTTTTTAGGTGGGACTGGACATGGGTCTTCTCTGTGTATGTGATGCTCTATCTTAGATAAATAGGTTTACCTCATCCCCACCAACATTCACATAATATATACCTCATAAATATAAATGTGTTTTCAAAGCATTTCCTTAAATGTCAAGTAAGTGGTGCCTTTTCGAGGCATACTTTAGTGATTCATGAACTACTATAGCATCTTTCTCTCAATACTCTGTGCTTTGCTTGTCCACACCCGAAGAATATGAAAATGTATGGAGTTGAATTTTTTTAAATATATTTGGAGCAACTGACAAGTAATAAGAGTATGAATCCACATCAAAGTTAACTTTGGTCATATTTTCCAAAGGCCTATTGTGACTTTTGTCTTATTGATGAGTGTATTTGTAATTAAAATTTGCTAATGAAAATCGTCTCTCCTTTGACCAGCTTGCTCGCAAGGACACTTGCATCTTCAATGGATCAAGCCAAGTGAGAGTGATTCTTATAAGGCTTTGAGAATCCATCAGCAGTTATTGCATACTGCAGCTGTTGGTGAACAGCAAGTAGATTATTATTCATTCATATCCAAAATGGTATTACTTTCACCCTGTTGCATCCTCCCTTGCCTCTAG